ACCTTCCATTCCCAAGGGATAATCGTTCTTGCCTTACGTTTGGAAGCCTGCCGAGTTGTCCATTATATCTTACATTAGGAACGTACTTTAATTATTTTAGGCATTGCATGTTGTTAATAACAAGTCGGCCACCTTCTTGTGGCTCCTAATCAAAGCAGAAGACACTTTCGTCCCGTCTTATCGCTCGCCACCCCACATGTTTGCTCCCCACCCGGCGATCGTAAGCACTGAGGACCGTCTCTCGTGCGGTGCTCAGAACTTTGTCGGCCATTTAACTCTTCAGTAGCCTCACTCGGATTAGTGCAGACTGATATCACCACCATTCCACACCTCAACGCTAACCGCGTTCGAATAATAATTGCACTAAGCGGCTCAGTGTTCATAGTTGCCATAGCAACACCAGTGATTGGCTGTCGGCCAAACGACCCACTGCGACACCCTCATCCCGTCAGCGTTATCAAAACAAAGCCTGAGCTTCTCCTGGACCGGATATCTAAGTGCACACACACAGACATCTGTGCAGGTACATCTATATTTACCCAGCATTATCGATTCCGCCGAGCCATCGCGCCACCGACTATTATTTCAGTCCCGTCTGTCGTTGTACATCCATCACCTGTCCGGGTGAATATTTCCACTGATGTGTGAAAACCCGCCGTTTTTATGTTTACACAGATTGGGCGACCCGTATGGGTTCCCGAAGTCACTAGAAAGCTTCAAGCAAGTGTTCGGGACCAGCAGACGTGCTGAGGTTGTTGTGGCGCGTCGTGGCGCCTCGGCCGCTGGCTGGTGTCCAGCGGCTCGCAACGTAACGATGCATCGTATAGTTTAGCCGCCGCCGCTCTCCCTCTGTGATGCGTCATCTGTTGTGCGAAATGTGACGGAACACGCTTATTTCGCGCTCCTCACGGAATGTCATCGTCTGCTAGCCATCATGTTCAGGGCTGTGGTGTGGTCTAGCTATTATTGAGTAGGAATGGCATGACACTACACTTAAAATGGCACACCTACTGACTATTCTTCTGCTTTAAGCTCGTTTCTCGACCATACCACTGAGGTCAGGACTCATCCGAATTTGTTATGATTCCACAGAACATTGATTTTTCCTCATTTCTGCACACTGACCAAATCTTCTGAATTTTTTCCCTTCAAAATGTACTGCACTTTCACCCATCTTGATTTACTTTGATCTAAAGTATTGTATCTTTTTGCAGTACTTCTTCTTTGTGACTTCGCGAAACTTTCTCTTGCTTTCCTCTATGAATTTTGGAGGCGATAGGATACCAATCGGGATGTCGCATTGCACTTACCTAGTAAACGGGATGGTGCTATCACAAGATACGGGGCCATCCTCTAGGAGCAAGCCTGGAAGGAGGCAGGAATTTAGAGAAATGGAAACTCACGAAGAGACT